CCACTTACCCTTTTGGCAAACATTTTAGTGCTTTTCTTTGTAATTCTGTCCTCTGCATGTCGTCAGCAACACTGGCTGCTTCCATCTGGATCTGTAACACCCCTCCCATTTCTGTATTTCGACCTCTGTTTTTCTTTTCTTCGATGGTGCGCGTTGGCTCCCGCTCTTTACCGTTACTCCTCTTGCATTCCAAGTTGTATGTCATCTTAGGGTGCTGCCTTTATTCATTTATACGTTAATGAGAATGCCTGCGTCCTTTCCATCAAATTAGAAGTGACTAGCGCAGCCGCAAACTTTTAAAAGGGCAGGTGGGCCAGAGGGTGGCCGCGATTTGGATCTCACGGTTATGGCTGCTAATCACGCGTGAGGGCTTCGTGTGTCGCCCTCCCCAGTTCGGTCCCCTGGAGAGGAGCTGGGTCTGGGAGTTCAGCCCTCCCAGCTGCTCTGTCGGGGGCTGGCTTGGAATCCTAAAGTTGGGAGGACCCCTCGAGGAGATCCAGTCCACCCCAACCTACCCCCTCTCAGTGCAGGAATCCAGATTAAAGGGGGCTCTCTAGCCTCGAACACAGCCCGGTTGGTTAGGTGGATAAGCAGCTCCTCTCTGACCTGCAAACAGGAAGCACCATAACCCTGCTTTAAATAAATCTAGGATCTGTAAGCTGTGGTAACTCAGAGTAGATTTGAGCTCCTCTCTTTGGGGTTCCCGGGGGTAACTGATGGGCTGGACAGGATAATCTGGTCAGCGCCTTGCACTGGCTTTGCTCGTCCCTTGCCTCCGTTTTCTCCCTGGTCCGCTTTGCAAGAAATCGGTCAACTCTGCTCTCGGCCGATGCCTGCTGTATGGCGGTGTTTTCTCCTTTTACTCACAACGGGGCAGAAAACAGCAGCGACAGGCCGAGGGCTTCAGACTCCTGTCCCTGGGGCGGCGGTGGGCGTGCTCGGCCAGCTTTCCAGAGACTTATCCCCTAGCTGGGCGGGCGGCAGGGTTTGCGGCAGAGCCCTGGTGCCCACCGCCTGGCCGTCCTTGGTTCTCCCGTCCAGCTGTTCATGGTGGACAACGGTGCGGATGACTGGCGGATTGCGATGACCTACGAGCGGATCTTCTTCATCACGCTGGAGCTGCTGGTCTGCGCCATCCACCCCATCCCCGGGCAGTACTTCTTCACCTGGACGACCCGCCTGGCCTTCACCTACGCCACCTCCGAGGCCAGCACCGACGTGGACATCACCCTGTCTATCCCCATGTTCCTGCGCCTCTACCTGATCGGGCGCGTGATGCTCCTGCACAGCAAGCTCTTCACCGACGCCTCTTCCCGCAGCATCGGTGCCTTGAACAAGATCAACTTCAACACCCGCTTTGTCATGAAGACCCTGATGACCATCTGCCCTGGGACCGTCCTCCTGGTCTTCAGCATCTCCTCCTGGATCATCGCGGCCTGGACGGTGCGGGTGTGCGAGAGGTGGGAGCCCTTTCCTCCAGAAGGGGACTCGGGGCAGGGAGGTGGAGGGAGAGGAGGCCCTGGGGGATGTGATGGGGGGCCTGAGTACCGGCCCCGTCGTCTGAACCAGGCTCTGGCTTGAGCAGGAGACCGGCAAGTTGACCAGGCGGGGGAACAGGGTGGCAGGCCTGGAACAGCCCGAGCGGGACGGAGGGGGTCTTCCTGCCAGGAGAGCGTTCAGTAATCCCAGGTGGGGCAGCCAAGGGGCCCACCAATAGAAGGGCAGGGCAGCCCCCTTGGGCAGGTCCCCACAGATCCTGTGGGCACCAAAGAGGCGGAAATTCGCCCCCCTGCTGTGAGATCAAGAAATGGGTGCCAAGCCAGCTGATGGCCAGTGGCAATCCCAAGGCTGCCCATCCAGGGAACTGGGCAGATGATGGTCAGAAGAACAGCCGGGGCTGTTGCAAAAGCCAGGAGCAGAATCAGCGCATTGTTGGCTGCACGAAAAAGGCGACGGTCTTAGCAGGAGACAAAGCAGAGTATCGTCTTCTGGGTTCACCTCCTCCGGCGAAGGAATGGCGTTCCCCCAGGAAACTGTGAAGAGCAGGATGAAGGGGCTGGGTTGAACGGAGGAGCTGCTTCTTAGGGAATGAAACAGGAGAAGGGTAATTTCTTCGCCGAGGAAACGAAGTTCAGACGGGGCAGGATGGGGGAGCCCAGGCTGGGCAGCAGTGCTCGGAAAGGACCTCTGAATAGGCGTTGATTTGCAAACCGAACACGAGCCAGGAGTAAGTTCGGGCTGCGGAAAAAGGCGGACGTGGTTGTCGTCTGCCTCAGCAGGGGCGTCGCTCCCAAATCACGGGAAGGAGCTGTTCCCTTTTGCTCTGCTTTGTTAGGCCTCAGCCCGTTCTGGGGGGAGAGGAGCAGGTTCAGAGAATGGCGGTGAGGGTTGGTGGCACTAGGGGGATGTTCTCCCCAAATGCTTCAGGAGGTCACACCTGCTCCCCCTCCTTAAGTTGCTGGAAGGCGGATTTTGGCTAGGCATTCAGGAAGGCTCCATCCCAGAAGAGGGTTTGATTGGGGGATCGGGGACCTGGAGGGGTGGAGGGCCCCCCCCGCAGTTGGGGGGACACGCACAGAAGTCCCTGGGGATGCTTGAATTTGGATTCCTGCACGCAGCAGGGGGTGGCCTGGATGACCTCCAGAGCCCTTCCCACTCCAGTTCTGTGAATAAAAACAACCACGGCTAGTAATTATGTGGCATTCCTCTCCCTCCGAGCGCACTGGAGCCCTTGCGCTGTTCTAAGGGCCTTCCGCGGAGAAGCGCCGCTTCCCTCGCGTCTCAAGGCTGGAGTCTCGGAGGAACCGAGCGCTGGAACTGCTGCAGAAAAGTCTCGGCACTTTCCACGCCCCTCCGCTCCAGTCGGTGGTGGGCCGGAACAGCATTAAACCGCAGGGCTTTTTGGGCAAAGCTCTGCGGCTTCCCTCTGCCCCCAGTGCGCCCCAGAGCAGCTTCCTGCCCTGCTGGCTGGGCCAGGCCAATCCCGAGGGGGCTGCGTCGAGGCCCCAAAGTTCCCAGGGTCCTCCTCACCTGAGCCAGGAAATGTGGGTCAGGCTTTCCCAGCCGGGCTCCCTCCAGATTCCTTGGGCTGCAGCGGCTGGCAGTGGGCGCCGGCTTCGGGAACGCTCCGCTGGATGCCCCGGGCGCCTCCTGTTCCCAAGGCTGCTTCCCTCACCTCCCCTTAAGGGCCGGGCTCTGACTGCTCTGGGCCACACTGATCCTTCCCTTTGCCGAGGAACCCTTCCAGAGTTGGGCTGGGGCTCTTGACGTGCAGGGTCCCAGATCTTCCCGTTCTGGGTGGCCTTTCCCGGTGCTGCACTCTGACACACCCCGGTGCAAGCCACGGCGATGTCTTGCACCAGGACGTGAGTTCTGCCTGGTGCAAAGGATGCCGTTCCTCTCCTTGGCACAATGAAGCCCCTCGCCTTGCTCTGCTCCTCCCGCGGACACCGACACCTGCAGGCAGGGGGGCCAGAAAGGACAGGTCTTGGCCCTCCGCAGGGCACCCGGTCAGGGCTAGTCAACGCTGGACCCCTGTCGGGGTTCTCTGCTCCAGTCCCTTCCCTTCACAGCACCCGAAGGTAGGAGGACCCCAGCAGGTCCACCCTCAACATTTGGACCACGAAGCAAAAGCTGACTGGCCCTTCCTGCTTGGTCGCAGCTGGCGCTTTGGCCCAGCACCCTGCAAAGCTGGTGGGGCTTCCTCCGAAAGGCGCGGCCAAATGATCGCCATAATCAGAGAGAAGCCAGTCCCAGATGAATGGCATTGGATACAACTTGCTTTTCGTTAACTATTCCACTCAAATAGAGGGTTTTCCTGATCCTTTTTGGGGTTCGGCCTCTGCCGTTTGTCACATGTGGCTGGGCTCACGTATGGCCGCGTCCAGGATAAAAAGCAGGATGGAGCTCCTGCCCTCCCCAGCTCACCTGTGGGCAGGACGTCCTGGGGGAGGCAGCCGGGCTGCCAGAACTGAGCCCCACAGCCTCGAGGAAGGAAGCAAAACCACAACGTGTCAGTTCATCGCAAAAGCGGACAAGACTCTCACCTCGTTTGCTCCCTGGGCTTCAGAACACCCCGCTTGGCTTCCTTGACCAAGGGATGTTCTGAAGCTCGGGGGACGATGCCCGCCCTCCCCCCTGCATTGTGGCCGAGATGGGTCTCTTTTGGGCCGCGTGATATTTTCCGGCGCCTGGAGACAGCCTGCTGTGGTGTTGGACTCCAGCACCCATGACTCCCAGCCAGCCTGACCAGATACTGGGCGGGCGAAGGCTTGCATCCAGGCAGGGCCGCTCCGTCCTGGGGAAGCCCCGAGATGGGATTCCTCCGCAGACCCTCGGCTCTTTGCTGGGGGGGGCGCAGCGAGGAGGACTCACCGGGCGCTGAGGGAGGCCCCGTCTCTTCCCGCGCAGGTACCACGACAAGCAAGACGTGACCAGCAACTTCCTGGGGGCCATGTGGCTGATCTCCATCACCTTCCTCTCCATCGGCTACGGAGACATGGTTCCCCACACCTACTGCGGGAAGGGGGTCTGCCTGCTCACCGGCATTATGGTAAGGCTCCGGAGCCAAGTGGCCCCCCACTCCCGAGGTCCTCAGTGGGACAGGGCCAAGAAACGCCATCCGGCCCAGCCCAAGCTCTCCCGACAGTATCATGTCTTTCAAATGCCTCTTCGAGCAAGATGCCACCTGATTAATAGCAGAAGCCAGTTGTGCTGAGGTCAACGCGTTTTACTTTTGAGGAAACACGGATACAGTTGGGGGTGGGGGGGGCAGGATCATCAGCAGCAGCAGCAAGAGAGCAAAAGAAGCACAGCTTCATTTTGTTTCTGAGTCATTTTCAAAAATCTGATTTTTCACCTGCATTTTGAAGGGGGCATTCTGCATCACCTCCGTCCCAACCTGTTTTTCTCCAAGAATTTCACACCAGGTCCTAAAACGAGCTTGAAGGATCTGTAAAGAGTGGAAGGGACACTTTGCACATTGAAATTTTTTTTATGTTATAAGAAAACCCAATCTCCTTGCAGGTAGAAATCTAACCTAGCGAGACTTGGATTTCCCCCAACACTTTTTTTTTTGGCCGATTGCTCCCTTTGTATAGGGGAAAAAAGCATTCTAAACTCCTCACACATTACATTGCAGCCTGAAATCTCACACCTGCTTAATTGTGCTATATTTTCCTGACATGCTCGATTTTTCTTTGCAAGGAATTTTAGAAATTCTTGGAATATTAGAAATGCAAAAATCAAAACAACAGGGCAACTCGCTCAACTTACGCAGCTCCCACAAAATTGGAACAGCCCTTGAGGATACACCACGATGCCTTCAAAGCAGGAATGATGAGCGGATTTGGGCTGCCCCCTTCCTTGCATCTCTCCGTGGGGAAAGTGACTTTCTTCACGCCCATTTGCTGTGTTTCAGGGTGCAGGGTGCACGGCACTAGTGGTTGCCGTTGTGGCCCGGAAGCTAGAGCTCACCAAAGCTGAGAAACACGTCCACAACTTCATGATGGACACGCAGTTAACCAAGCGGGTAAGAGAGGGGACCGCGGAGGAACGACGAGAAGTGGGGGGGGTTCTGTCCGGCTGCAGGTCGGCCTACGTGCATCGTTTACGCTTGCCGATGCTGAACTGCATTTGACGGCCTTTCTCCCCCTTGGGAGAGACCCCTTAGGATCCGCTTCTGATCCCTTCTGACTTTGCCCATCGGCAAGCGTGGGCGCCCCACTGCTCGGCCTTCCCTCCGGGTCACTCAGAGAGATGCTAAAAAGCATCGCTCCCAACGCTGCTCCCTGGAGACCCCCTTTGTGCGTCCCTCTGGGGGTGAGGATCGCCCCCCGTTTTTCCTGCTTTTTAGCTGGGGGCCATCCACAAAGCCCCAAATCTGCAGCAGCTTGGGGGGCCTTTGGAGCAAGATCTCTTTGGGGAAGAAGTGGGTCAGTGGGGAGCAAGTGAGGAAGGGGCTCCCCAGTGCCGTTTTGGCGCTCTTCCCTTGCCCATCTGGGGCCGGGCTTTCCCTTCTCACCTGATGCCACCCCCTCCCAGGTGAAAAATTCGGCGGCCAACGTGCTCAGGGAAACGTGGCTGATCTACAAGCACACCAAGCTGGTGAAAAAGCTTGACCACGCCAAGGTGCGGAAACACCAGCGTAAGTTCCTCCAAGCCATCCATCAGTAAGTCGACCTGTTTACCTGCTTCCTGCCCACCCCGCTCCGCCTTAACCCCGTCTCTGCCATGCCCCCCCATTAATCCAGGGAACCCGCCCATGAGGACCCCCGTCCCGTGGTCACCACCCATAGCCTCCGAGGCGCCTGAACGGTGCCGCCTGGTGCGTGGCGGGTGGACTGGGCCGACCCGGTGCTCCTCCCTCTCAAGGCAGGTGTTGGGAACTGGCTCCCGCTCTGGCCTGGCCTGGAGTGGGAGGGTTGCGCTCTGCGAAGGCCCCTGGAGGGAGGACTCAGAGATGGAGGGGCCCCGCCAAGCTTTCTGGCCATCTTGTTCGGCCGCCTCTTTTACTGGAGGCTCGGCCCAGGGTGCAAACTGGGACATCCACTGGCAGAGGAGACGACCCTCACCCTAAGTTTCCAGTCCTCATGGCTGTGAATGAAAGGCAGCTCTCAGTAGGAGCCTTTGGCTGCTCCATAGGAGCCTCTCCTACCGCAAGCCCTGGACCCCGGCGTGGCCTGCCTCGGTGGGAGGGTGGTGCCAGCCGGTCAGCGAGACCCTGGCTTGGGCAGAGGGGCAGGCAGGGAATCTCTCCGTTGCGCAGGGGCACCGGCAGCTGGTCAGCAAGGCTTCAGTGGGCAAAGAAGCGCCATTGCTGGCCTTGGCAGAGCTTGACCCAGGGACCCCTTGCAAGGACCGCCAGGCTCTGCCACCCAAAGAGGGTCAGCCCCAGGCCCGCCGGTGCTGAGCTGAGCAGGAATATCAGTGGCAGAGCCAAGGTGGTCCTTCCCGCTTGGCATTTTCTGACCCGTCCGTGTGGGTCTGGGGGTCAGGGAACCGTGGGCTGCTTGCAAAATGTTACTAAGGGTGAGGTGGGGTCGCAGAGGACTCCTTTACCGCGGGGCTTCCCTGTGGTGGAGGAAGCCAAACCGACGATTCTCCCCGTCGAATCTGGGCTCCCGCGCGGCCTCGCAGGTGGGCAGGCTGGTCACCTGCTGGTGATGCCAGGCAAGGGGAACCCGGTCCGTCCCTCGCTTGGGCTGAATCTCCCGATCTCCACGGCAGATCTCCTTGATCTGGCCGGTGACCGGGCAAGGCTGCTTTGGGGAGGGCCTCTCCGCTGTGCCCACCTCATTCCTGGCCCGGGAGGGCCTCTCCTCCACACCCCTCTCGCTCAGGACCCTGACCCTGACGGAGAAGCCCTCGGTTGCCTCCTCCGGGCCAGACGTGTTTCTAGTCCGTTGCGGGGCTGGATCACGCCAAGTCCTCTTCCTTCCTAACCCTTCGGGGAGCGTCAGGCAAGAACGCAGGATCGGCGGTCCTCCACTGCTGTCATCCTCTCCTCTGCCCCCGGCATCTGGTACTTAGAGGTAGATTATCCCTGGATGTGGAAGTTCCATTACGCCTCACAGTTAATAGGTATTAGTGGCCTTATTGTTTGCCAGTCAGTAATAAAAACCAAAGAAACTGTCCAGCTGGATTAGATGAAAGCATAACGCAGAGACAGGGAAACGGCCTTCAAATGCGGGTGGGTTCCGACTCCCATCATCCCTGCCATTGATTGCACTGTCTGGGGCTAATGGGAGCTGCCACAGATTTCCTACTCTCGTTCTAGACCATCAAGGTGGGTGATGGTTGACTCTTTGTATTCAGAGATAGACTGCTTCTGAAGGTGGAAGTTCCACTTAGATCGAGTACTTTTTGGTAGAAGCTTCTTCCCAATCCAGTGGCTCTTACAGCGATCGTGTGCCTGCATGTTCCAACAGTTTGGGCTGCGAATTTATAAACTTTACAGGTTTTGCAGTTTATGAGGGGGATCCAGGGAAGGACCCCAAAGGCGTGTAGAAATGAAGGAAACGGGCAGCAGAAAGGCAGCTGTAAAGTGTTCGTTGCACTCCAAGAGCCTTGGAGAAATAGGAAGGTTGTTGATGGGGCGCCCCCGCCCGCCCAGAGGCAAGCAGAGGGGCTGTCCCCATGACCGGAGGTCCCACTGCAAGCCTTTGGGTCCGAGGACTGAGTGTGTTCATCTGCAGGGGAGGTGGGGGCCTTTCCTCCCTCCCCCCCCCCGCCTGGTTGGTTGCTTAAGTCCTTGAGAAGATGATGGTGAAGACGATGATGACAGTTTTTGCTTTCCAGGTTAAGAAGTGTGAAGATGGAGCAAAGGAAACTCAGCGATCAAGCTAACATGCTGGTGGACCTGTCAAAGGTTCGCAGTGTTGGGGGGACTGGAAAGGCAGGAGGAGACCCCCCCGTTTTGGTGGCAGGGAGGGCTCCCCCCATCCCGAGGCCCCAGTCAGCGATCCTGCGGAGGGGTTTCCCGGGGGGGTCGGTGCCGGACTCGGGAAAGACCCTTTGCGCCCTGCGCCGGGAGAGGGACCCGGACCTGCCTCTGATGGGGGCGGGGGGCGGGTTAGGAGGGGCTGCCTTCGCACAGGGCGACTTCATTAGGGCTTGTCTTAGGGGAGCTTCTAGATCAAGAAGGTTTAGCCCGTTTCCTTCAGCTGCAGTGGCCAAGTTTGAAAAGCTTCGCCTGCTTTTTAGGCGTGCTGTGCATGGAACGCACGTTTAAAAAAAACAGGGTGGGTTTTGATCACACCGTAGCGGCTGCCACCTTGACGTTTTCGGACCACTCTCTGCCGATGCCCCTGACCCCCCCTTCTCACCTCCCTGCAGCCGGCAATGCTGGCCGTGATACCTTAACTGTCAGGTCCGTGTTCCTTGCAGCATCACACGCTCAGTCCAGCACTCACTGCAAATCATTCAAGTTCTACGGTTTACGCATTTCCCGCATTGTTCGTCCATTGTGCTGTATTGCTTCCTACCTGTTTTTAAATTAGTTCCTGCTGAGGAACTTTACGGGCTGAACAACTTAGAGGTTTAATAGATATTAAATCTGTAGGGAAACAGGGCAGGGATGTCCATTTCAGGTCAGGTCAGGGCGTCGGACAGAACCTAGGGAGAAACGGGTGGCCGGCAGAACGGGTGCAACGCGACCCCAGGACTGTGCCCCACTCAGCGACCAAGCTGCCGCCGCCGCCACCCCTGTTCCACCCCCACCCTCCCCCCCGAGATTCTGTACGTCATAAGGGTAGCCCTGTAAAGAAAGCGCTGCAGTAGTCCAGCCGGTTGCAGTCCACACGCAGATGACTTTATTTCTCTTCCTCGGCAGACGCAGAACATCATGTACGACATGGTGTCGGAACTGCAAGAGCGCAATGAAGACCTGGAGAAGCGCATCAGCGCGTTGGAGGGCAAAATTGACACACTGGGATTCACCCTGCACGCACTGCCGGGTCTCGTGAGCCAAGCCGTGTGGCAGCAGCACCAGCACCAGCACCAGCACCGGGCCCTGCCCCGCGTCTACGGCACCTCCAACGGCTCCGAGCGCTCCTCGTGGACCCCCACACAGCAGCAGAGGTCTCCCCCCACCGCCCCCCACCCCTCCTCCGACAGCGGCTGATGCGGGCCCGGAGGTCCAGAGCCTGCGCCCGCTACGCGTGGCCACCATGTGGCCGGATCCCCTCTGGGCTTTTTTCTGGAAAGCCCCTGGAAGGACAGCAGCCCCCCCCCGTGTCCCAGTAGGGAGGGGGAGGGCCGGGCGGCATTTGGCTCGGCCTGGAGAACAGACCACCACGCCCGGCCGGTTCCAGAGCAACTTTTGGCAAAGTGTTGGGGCAGGGAGGGGCAGCCTTGGTCAAAATAATCCATGTTCATAGGAAGGAAGGAGAAGGGAAGTTGGGTCGCTGCGGGAGCCTCAGATTTGCCGCTGGAAGAGGAAAGGGAAGCTCTTAAAACCCCGAGGAAGTGGGGGCTTGCCCCATTCCCCGTGGGCATCTGCAGGGGAGCGAGGGGCGGGCCTGTGGCGGATGACGGCACCGTGCACGTGACATGAGTGGGGTTGGAACCAGACCCCTGTGCCTCCAGGGAGCCCACACGGACGTTCTGCAGCACCCCATTTTTGATAATGAGATCCGAAGGAACGTCTTGTGGGTCAGCCGTGAAGTGCATTGTGTTGCTTGGCGCAACTGATATTCCCATACGCCAATACGCACCTGATGAACGTGTCTGTTAATATAATGGCATGCAAAAGCGTGGCACCCCTGGCCAAATTATATGTTTCAAGGAATAGCCGCGTGAAGAGAAGCCGACGCTACCTCTGCACGGGACAAAGTTAAAGAGGACGTCCTTCTGTAAGTCTGAATGCGTCCCTACTACTTGCACGCAGTTATTTACAGGTTCAGAATAAGAAAACTGCCTGGAATCCGGCCAGCCCACAGATCACTGCAAGGACCCAGCTGAAGAGTTGGTTGCTACCGGAGTTGTGATCTCCTGCTCCGCAGCCCAGCGTTGCTCACCCGACAGTGCTCGGCACAGGAGAACGGTCAAAAGGAAACCCATTCCCCTGCCTTACCACGAAAGCCGTTACCCGGGGCACCCGAAAGAAAACCTTGACGGCCTGAAATGCCCTGGAACAAAGGGTTTTGGACTGACGTGGCAAAACGCAAACCGTTCAGTTGCAGTGACGCAAAGCACTTTTTGGAGAAAGGGTGAAGCATTTGAAAAGAGGAGCAGCCTCGCTGACTGGTTAAGAATAGAGGGGGTCCCGGGCAGCCCGTGGCCCAGGAAATACCACACGGGTGGAAGGCAGAATGGATTCAACTAAATATCAACATATCCTGGAGGTTAATGCTGTGTAGCCAGTAAAGAAATTGAAGCTGAAAAGGGGTCAGACATTTCACGGGACAACACTCGGAAAGATACTCCCAGATCAACCACGAAGTGCTTACAAGAAAGAGGAGGAAAGATTTTGAATGGCTTTCACAATCCCCACGTACTACTGAAAGTCTGTGGGGAGATCTCAAGCATGCAGTGCCTGCCAGGAGACCTAAGAATCTTTCCGACCTAGGAGAGTTCGGCAAGGAAGAGTGGGGGGGAAGCCCCAAAGTTAGAATAGCATGATCCTCAGTTGCTCCAGGAAATGTTTGGAAGCTGTTACTTCTGCCCGAGGGGGTCAAAGCTCCTGCCCTAGCCATACTCAGTCTTTTGGGGTTTTCTAGTATCTGCAGTATGCATTCAAATTTGCTGAAAGATGCTGTGTTTTTCTTTTACGTGTAGAGGTTGTGCCAACTTCTGTTCACTTTGGCTTTCTTGGAAACGGGGGGGCCTAAAGTTGTGGAGGCAACCGGACCTCCCTGGGGCTGAGGCAGCCTCCAGTCTGCCGGGAGAGATTTAAGGTTTAGAGTGCAGGTGTTCTGAGCCCCCC